TTGCTGAATATAGCAATACAGCATCACTGTCACAGAAAAACTTGTATCTCCATTTGTGTTTATTTTTCTACATCAGTGGTTTCCAACCTGTGGCTCACACCCCCCCAGTAGGCTGCAGTGGTCATTTTTTTAAACCGCTTTATTTTTTAAACAGTTTTGGTGATGCTAACATCATCATTGAGAATGCAAATGACAAACAAATCTTGTTACTAGAGAAAATTGACAAATATCAAACAGAGCGTTAGTAAAATAATGCTGCATTTTCGCCATTCTAAATATCATGTTTGGTGTGCAGGACATTATCAGTTATACACGTGATCAAATTAATTTACTGTCATCCAAAAATACTGCACGAATAAATCGCATTCGGTGTGTCCAAGAACTATAAATAAGTAGCTACTGCTCTTTTTTTAAATAAAGTTTGAGGCCAAACAAATTATGCTGTCAGTTGGAGGCCAAACAAATACACATCTAATCCTATTGAACTGAGCCAGACCTCCTTTCACAACTTTCATTTCTTCAGCATGTCATCTAGCAGCCTCCAAACAACATCAGCTAACTTATGAGGTGAATTAGAAAATGTTGGGTTATTTGTTAGTCTTCATTGTGTTGCATTACGTTTGAAAATCATGCAAAACTGACAGGCTACTTTGGTTTTTGTATTATATTTGATTGCACAATGTGGTTGGTTAAATCCAGTGGGCCGCAAAAGCTTTTGTGGTTGGTTGTGTGGGTTGCAAGTCAGAAAAGGTTGGGAACCTCTGTTTTACATCATTTGAGCTCAGCAGCTGTCTTTACCAATAGAAATGCTCTAAAATTACTTGAAATAAAACCTCTTTTCATTAATTTATTTTTAAATTTGGGCAAATGTCTCCTGTAAAGTTACTCTTTTGGAGAAACATGTTTTGTCTTTGGACAGCGATGATAATTTATTTCTTTCACAGCTACTATTACATATATATGACATTTCGCCTGCACATGATAAAAATTCTCGTATACACATCACAAATTTTCATGTGTAAATGTAAATGTTTGGCCATCTACACACACAGTAGATTGTCTGGACGTATCTGGCCAGAGTGAATGCAACAGAGAAAACAGGCCTCCATCTGCAGGGCTGTAGGTAAAAATTTTGAGCGTGAAGCAAAGTTGCAAGTGTTGTAGCACAAATTAATTTTTTAGCACCAAGAATAAAACGACATACATAAAAATACATTTAAAAATGATAAAAAATCTCGATAAGTGAAAGAAATTGTTCATTTTAATTTGTTCTCTTGTGTTTGTATAATCTGGTGAACTACCGTACCATAAACACTAGAACTAGAACTAGAAAACACTATTGTAAACACTAGAATTCAGCTTTAGTCAAGTCAAATTTATTTATATAGCGCCTTTTACAACAGACATTGTCACAAAGCAGCTTTACAGAGAATCCGGGTCCACACCCCCAGTGAGCAAGCCTTGGCGACAGTGGCAAGGAAAAACTCCCTCAACAGGAAGAAGAAACCTTGAGAGGAACCAGACTCAAAAGGGGAACCCGTCCTCCTCTGGTCGACACCGGATAACAGCGCTGACATAAAAAAGTATAAGTGGATAAGTCACAGCTCACATGAGCAGATGCCTTGGGCTGTTGGGAAATGTTTGATATTGCACACACCACGTAGTTCAGAACGGCTCAGAAAAAGAAATTATAAATTATTGACGGCCTGCCCGAGTACTTGGAGGTGATAAAGTATTTGAATGAAGATGTACACACTCACAAAGGCCCGTTTTATTTCTCTTAGCACATGCAACAATAATGTCACATGTACAGCCTTGATCTGGTTGTCAGGTAAAGTAATGGATCAGAAGGCAGAGGACAAGGGGCACGAAACACGAGCATTACTTGCCTCTCAGAGCTGGAGCGGAAACTTTGTCACAAGAAGCAGAAAATAGAGATGGAAATTTATAGGATATTCGATGGAAAGGAAGAGAAGCTTCCGGCATGATCCTTGACCTAAACTTTAGTTACTTCTCAAAGCCGTTTAAATGTGGCAAAAAATATATTATAATCAATAATACTATAGTGTATTAAAAGAGACACAGCTTTTGCACAAGTTGTGGTGCTTTATTAACCAGCTGTTGTTGGCCACAGCTACGCCATACATAGAGAGTATTCTCTAAAGTCTAGGCTACACCCAGTTCTCTCAGTTGTCAGCTTTCGACTGACTCTAAGTCCTTCCTGCTGTAGAGACATATTCCCCTGGGAAAAACTAGCCCTGCCTTCAAAATAACAGTCCTTTTCAGAATAACCCATGAATAAATGCTAAAAAACTAATAACCTAAACAAACATGCTACACTACCCCCTCATTTACAGAAGTCCTCATTCCTGAGGACCACAAGGTCTTTGAACTGAAATGGGGGCGCCTCTTCATCCCGGCGTGTGCTAGGGTAGGCCTGTTCACTGTCCCGACTGGCACTGTCCTCAACAGCAAGCGCCCCCAGTTCCCTCTCAGGGCCCACAGCGTCAAGTCCAGTGCCACTCGGGGCAACAGCAGCAGCAGCAGGACTCCTTCCACTTTCTCTGATTTTCTCTGCTTCGTTGATGCTGATGAGGGGGCTGCACGTGTGGGCAGCCCATGTCCCTTGGGGATCCATCCACCAGCACTCTTCCAGCACTGTCAGCTTCACCCATGAAAAACCATGCTGCCCTTGACCTGACAGCACACTCTGTTCCCCGGAGATCCTCCAATCGTATTGATGCTGCTTGTTCCACTATGCACTGGACATCCAGTGGCTTCATTGTCACCATGTGGATGGCTCAGAAAGTCAGTGTACCACTCTCTTGGTCCATTTTGCAGTGCATAGAACTCCTTCACTGTTGATGGAAATGTGACAGAAGTCTGACATGGATGTCTGCTCCACCATGGCCACTGTTTGTTCAATGTCTGTGCTGTTCTTTTTTGACTAGGGCAGTATTCTTTACCATTGACTTCATCCCCAATTGACAAGCCCTAGCCAGATGTCCCTGCCAGCTGGATGTCCAGCACTGGTGGCCCTGTGCCCATGGCTGTATTGCTGTGGGAATAGCCAGCAGACAAGCCCTAGTCAGATGTCCTGGCTGGTATGTCTGGGATTAGTTTTAGTCATCTCCACCCCCCACGCCGGCTTTGATGACTTGCTTGACTTCACCACGGCTCTGACGGTAGGACTGTTAATGTCTGTGCACCCCAAAACTGCTGATTATGCCAACAGTCTATCCAGTGCCAACTCTAGGGTCTCAGGCAAGTTGTGTGTCTGGGCCAGCTGTGCGTGGATGCACAGCTAATTTGGAGACAGTGCCATGATGAACCGATCTTGCGATTGCTTGCTCTGTACACAAAATGGCAGGTGAGCATAAGCACATTAGCTAAAATTTCAATGTCGTTAGCTCAGGCTCTCAATGGTTTCCTTGAGTTTCTTCAGCTGTTACGCATTTCAGACCAAAGGAGCTTGGGTCAGAAACACTCAAAATGCCTCAAGTTCTCTCGCTGCAGTCTAGCAACAGCTGGCAAGGTGATGAATCATCGGTCAAACAAAGCAGTCAAACATGATTATAGACCCTCAGTTTTGTTGGGTTCTGATTGAGTAAAATCAGCTGTAAGGACATGGTTACACCAGAAATATTTCAGACTAGTGAACCATACAAAAGAATTATGCGATTCAGAAGTAAAATTTAGGAAAATGTTTGGTGGATATTTAAACATATAGAGTGCTGTGTGAAAAACTGAGCAACAATTATTAATGTACTCTAACCTTAATTATTTGTGTCTTCCTGAAACTTCGGTGATCTTGACAACCCAACTGGGCATGTTGAGTTTCCAGGCTATACTAGGTATCAGCTAGATGGGGTTTTAATCTATGTGAAGGACGCCGTTTAATGTAAACAAATTGACAATTTTTGATAATACCACCTGAGGGCCCAGAGATCACGGCCAGATAATATTGGTTTTCGTCCTTGTCTTTCCATACAGAGATTTCTCCAGATTCTATATTATATACTGTAGACAACGAAATCCCCAAGTTCTTTGCTGTTTTACATTGAGAAACGTTATTCTTGAATTGTTGCTCTATTTGATCGTGCAGTCTTTCACAGAGTGGTGAACCCCTCCTTATCTTTACCTCTGAAAGACTCAGCCTCTCTGAGATGCTCTTTTTTACCCAATCATCGTACTGACCTGTTAGTAGTGAGATGTTCCACTAGGTGTTTTTTTAACATTACACAACTTTACCAGTCTTTTGTTGCCCCGTCCCAACTTTTTTGCAACGTGTTGCTGGCATCACATTCAAAGTGGGCATATATTTTTAAAAAATCAGTAAAATTTCTCAGTTTCCATGATTGATATGTTGTCATTGTACTATTTTCAATCAAATATGGAGTTTGAATGATTTGCACACCTTTGCACCCTGTTTTTATTCACATTTTACACAGTACTGTCATATTTTACTGACATACCTGTCAGCTAGAATCTAAAATCAGCAGCGGACATCACAGAGATCATCTCAGTCTGTGGTGGATAATTTGATAGGTCCTGCCAGAGGGCAACATCGTAGGGAAATGGCTATCCATGTGTGTGTGCACATGAGGACAGCGAGGCCCTAGGGCAGGGGTGGTGAACTCCAGTCCTGGAGGGCCAGGGTCCAGCACAGTTTAGTGATTGTTTACTCAAACACACCTGATTCAACTCATGGGCTAATGACCAGGTTTAGTAGGAGAGTATAATCAGGAAAATCAGTAAACTGTGCTGGACATTGGCCCTCCAGGACCTCAGTTCGCCACCCCTAATCTACATAATCATCCAGATGCGGAAGCAGTTTTTAGGGAAAATGCTTTTATCCTGCAGAAATATCCCATGCAGACATGTTTCTGCTGTAGCTAAGAGAAGCTCAATAATGGACACTAAACATGTGGATGACAATAGTCTGTGCTACTCTTTTTCTCTCTCTCTCTCTCTCTCTCTCTCTCTCTCTCTCCTTATAGGTGAATGTATTTGGATTTGGTGCCAGTAAAGATGGGAACTGGAACCACTACTTTGACAAAAGATATTATCATTTTCTCAACACTGGCGTACACAGAGGAAGCGCTGAATACAACATCACTCTGAAACTCCACCAGAAAAACAAGATCCAGATGTATAAAGGATGGTAAATTAACCCTTGTGTGGTGTTCTGTGGGACCCGTTTTCGATGTTCACCAAAAGAAAAGAAAAAATGGTGCAATTTATTATTATTTTAACCTCAGATTTCTTGTTCTTTGCTCATTTTCTGTGAAGAACATATAAAATAACCCATTTTCAGTGTCTTCACTCTGTTCACCCCCCACACATTTATATTACACATGTGTTGTTGGGTGAAGCTGCGGGAAGTAAAAGTGTGGAGGTGCTGTGTCCTTCACTCTGTTCTCCTCCTACATGGCCTGCTGTTAGTGTGTGTGTATCTGTGTGTGTGTGTGTGTGTGTGTGTGTGTGTGTGTGTGTGTGTGTGTGAGGGTGGGCAACATGGACAGGCTGCTGACTGGCTACGGCTGCTAAAGGAAAACCCTATGCTGGACACCTGTAATATTTTAAATATCTGGTATTTTTACATAAATTATTATGGCGGTATAGATTAAAAAAAAAACAATAATGTGGTGGGTCCACCAGACCACTGAGTAACGACAACATCAACACCACACAAGGGTTAAAGTCAGGTAAAAGCGCTTCTTTTTTCTGTTCAGTCATAATGAAGTTCTGTTAAAAAGTTTATTTTTGTATCAGAAAGCCACGAATGTCAGAATAAAGCCACTTTGAAGCTGCACTATGTAAGTTTTAGGAATTTAGAGACCTCTCTGGTGGAAGTGCAAGTGCATGCAGCACACTTATAATACATACTTATATACATAACGCTACTTCTTTCAATTTTAACAAAAAAAATCTTACAGAGTGCAGCTTTATGTAGCATTTATATTGTAAGTGATCTGGGGTTAATTCTTAGTTCTTTTCTCCTCTGGATTAATAATGTAGGAGCTGATTGCAGGATTTGTGGAGTTTAATCTTCAGTAGGTAGATTGATGAGATGAGCTTATAAAATAAATATTATCATATATTTCAAATAAATACAGTGGGATCCAAAAGTCTGAGACCAGAATGAAAATCTATGATATTTTTCATTTGAACCAAAAAATATACAGCAAAGTTTTAGGACGTTGTCAAATTTCAAACAATGAAACATTTTGACAAATAAAGAGTACATGTTCAAGATCCTGCACTATTTTTAAGTCACCTTTCAAAGCAAAATTATGCAAATCTACCAAACACTAAGAAATTCTGAAATTCATGGTAAAATTATGCTTCTATTCTATTTTTCACTCAATGTGTTCTGCTGATTGCATAATTTGTAAATTTGTAATAAAAATGTTTTATTAAATAAGAAAGGAATGCAGAATAGAAGCATTACCACCAGTAGTCTCAAGACTTTTGGATTCCACTCTATATGTTTTAATTATTTGAGGAAACATGAAATTGATGTATTTGTTTGACTTCTCTCTCTCTCTTTCTCTCTCTCTCTCTCACGATATCAAACTAATACAGTATACCATGCTAGATGTATGATGAACCCTTTGTGAATAGAAAACAGTTGACAACATTTCCACCATTTGACCAGCAGATGGCATCTTAACCCATCTTCAGAAGCAGTGCATTCATGCATGGGCGACCGTGGGTAGTGATGAACCTGACTAACCAGGGTCCTTCCTGAATGGGTCCCTCCAAAAGCCTTAGTAATAAATTGATTTTAGTTTATAGTTTGAAACCTGGATGTTATTATAGAAATAAGCATTATGGGACTGCGTTTTCCATGATCATCTTTAAAGTTCTGCTTATCTACCTGTTGTTCCTGTTACCACCCCCCCCCATACAACTCCCTTAAAAATAAAAGTTTGTTCCTTTGGTGAGCACATCTCTTCTATGACCTCTCCACTGTCAGCTATAGATGTCAGTTAGTAGCTGTTCAGCAGTTCTGACTTGACTAAAATGAGTGGTAACCAGACTGCAAAATAGTTTAGCTTTATACATAGTAATTACACAGTAACTACCTGTTGTTTTATAAGCATCATATTAACCAGCCATACTACCAGGTACATACTGATAATGTCTGTGAAATGACGGAAACAAGAGTGTAAAATAATGTGTATCTTTGTACATAGTATTTATACACCTTTTCTTATTCAGATCATAACCATACATAGTGTTCATAAGCATACATAGTGTTCATAAGTGTACAGTGTTCATAAGCATACATAGTGTGCATAGCCATACATAGTGTTCATAACTATACATAGTGTGCATTAGCATACATAGTGTTCATAACCATATATATTGTGCATAAGCATACATAATGTTATTGTGATATGGGTTATAGCACAGAAATGGTAAACAATGTCCAAGTTGTAGTGTGAAATATTGATTAATGAAGCAAAAACACACAGGATTCAGGCACAAATAGAAATGTACTAAAGCAGTGACTACAATATACAGCTAACTGGATTTCACAGTTCAGGTTTGATCCACAGATAAAATACACAAAATTCCAGACTACCTGGAATATAACACTGTCTAACCTATTAACACAAAGAAAACAAACAATACAGAAACACAGAAACGTCCATCTGTTACTGATTATCAAACACAACACACACACACAGACACATTTGTCTCACATAATTAGTGAGGACTTTCATTGATTTCTATCGATTTTTGTATTACTATAGCCGAGTAATACTACACCTATGCCTAAATCAAACCCTAACCTTCACCTCAGTATCCAAAAGGCAATTTTTCTTTTTTTTTTAACGAAAGTAATTTGAGATGAAAATAACATGCTCAAGTTCTTAACTGAGCAAATTGTGATGTTATCTTATCAATATGATGACCACAAGGACAACAAGACAAGATAAGACAAGCACACACACACACACACACACACACACACACACACACACACCCAGGGAGACAGACTTGCTATACGGAATATCTACAGAACAGTGAAGAATCCAAAAGGTCAAGACCAAAATGCTCAAATGTAGAGTAACCCTGCAGAAGCTAACAGGCCAGTGAGGCGTCTCAAAGAGTCCTGCGCATCAACAAGACATGGGGAAACCGGGAAGATGTGGACGGGGTACTGGATTGGTTGTTATTCACGAATTAGTACAGCTGAGTCCAGTACAGTTTAATCCAATAGTTCAGTCCACATCTTCCAGGTTTTTGCTCATCTCACTTTGTTTGACGTAATCTCTGTGAGACAGATGGGGGCTGTAGTTCTGTGTGTGTTTGCTTGCTAGATTCTGTTCTGCACAGTGAGTATGGTCATGAACACAGTGCGTATGATTATGAACACTATGTTTATGAATACAGTGTGTATGGTTTCGAACATTGTGTATGTTTATTAACATTATGGTTGTGAACAGTGTGTATGGTTATGAACACAGTATGTATAGGTATAAACACAGTGCATGTGTATGGTTATGAATACTGTGTGTATGGTTATAAATACAGCGTATGGTTATGAACACTGTATGGTTATGAACACAGTATGTATAGGTATAAACACAGTGCATGTGTATGGTTCTGAATACTGTGTGTATGGTTATAAATACAGCGTATGGTTATGAACACTGTGTATAGTTATGAACACAGTATGTATGGTTCTGAACACTGTGTAGTTATGAACACTGTGTATGGTTATGAACATTGTGTATGATTATGAACACGGCATATGGTTATGAACACTGTATTGTTATGAACATTGTGTGTGATTATGAACACAGTGTGTATGGTTACAAACACTGTGTATAGTTATGAACACTGTGTGGTTATGAATACTATGTGTATGGTTATGCTTTGTACAACCATTCACACTGTGTAGATGTGCATGACCAGAAAAAAAGACCAGAACACCACACACTGAATTTCAAAAGTCAAATAAATTACAAAATTTAATAAGATATATATATATATTTTTTTCAGGATTACAGGAACATGAAAAAGGAAACCTGATTAAAAGAATGGACAAAAATAGGTAAAAACAATCTCAACAGATTAACAAGTTCATACAAACACACATAACCTCCATGCAAAGGACTTAACTGAGGCTAAAGCTAAAAGAAAATCATCAGGTTAGAACTCAGAGTCATAATATGTAAATTAAACATTTGCATATAGATATACATTTGCTGCTTCATCATTACAAATTAAAACCATTATAATGCAGACTTGAGTGGACTCAAAGATACAAAGCTGGACACAGTGTCACTGGTGAGATTCAGTCAACAAAGATAGTGTCCGTTGTGTGCTTCTTGATGACATCAACAAGAGTTGCTCTCAGTCAGGACCTGAAGGCCTTGAAGGTTCCCAGATGGTCACATTTCCCCCAGTTATATGATAATGGAAATACTCAGCTCCAGCTCCTGAACCACAGGCCACCGCCATGTCTGTTAGGATAGATTGGAGATGGACATAAACAAGTCCTTATCTCATGTCACAGCGCCCTTCTCCAGGAACATACTACACACCTCACAGAGACACAAAAACCAAAGAAGTACTTTTCTTAGGCATAAGAAGTACATTCTTAAAAATATTCTTTGCTAAAAAGATTTAAATCTGACCACTCCAGGCACCAGGCTTTGTCCTCCTGTCTCACCCAGGGTTCAGTCATACATGACCCTCTTTCTCGTTCAGTTTTCCAGACCAAGAGCTTCTCACAGCACACCAACGGCCTCACTTTTACAGTCTGTAAATAATGAGCTGAATAAGATTGAAAAAAACCCAAAATTTTACATAAAACTAAATAGATGTGACAGAGTCGTTAGCTGACACAATGGCTCATTATAGTGCTGTCAATAATAGACATAAGACAATTTCAACAGCTGGTAAGAGATTTAGTTTCTATGTCTGTGAATTAAAGCTATCAAAGCAGTATGAAATCCTTTGGGTAGGACTCACCAGAGCAGGACCTCACTGGAAATGCCTTAATTACCTTACAGTACAGTGGATACCAGCAAGAAATCAGTTAAACAACCTGCTGTCAATAATCTACATATCTGATATTGTACACTCTTTAAAATGATGGTTCTTTAGGGGTCCTTTAGTAAAGAAAATGGTTCTATATAGAACC